TCTGTGCATGAAATTGTTAGATATGTTAGTTTCCTAACTAGTTGTCTATAAAAGGTTGGATCATAAAGAGGTTCACCATATGTAGCACAAAATTCAACAGTCAATCAGATATGCGTATGAACTTTGTTTGTATCAGCCTTTAGTCATAGAGAGGTTCACCATATGTAGCCCAAAATTCAACAGTCAATTAGATATGCGTATGAACTTTGTTTGTATCAGCCTTTAGTCGAGCCAATAAAACAATCTCTAAGGCATATTTAAACTGGGAAAGATAGCTACAAGGGGAATAAGCGACTCCTAATCCTAGGAAATAGCACAAGAACCCCAAGTCTTTCATTTTGAATGTTTGATTGAGCTTTTGTTTAATGTTATGATCAGTGCCCATGTCATTATCATAAATGGTTATGTTATCTACATATAATAACAAGAGAGCCCGCCCTTTAGAAATTTAGACACAAAAAGGGTGGATCGTGGTGGCTCTATGAAAAATCAATAGAGATGATTTCATTGAGAAATTTATCAAACCAAGTAGGGGTGCATGTTTGAATCCATATAGGGCTCATCACAGTTTATACACCCTATTTTGAGAATTTGTAACTCTAGACGGTAAATTCATACACAGTTCCTTATCATGACTACCATTGAAAATTTTTTTTTTAACATCTAACTGATAGAGGGGTTATTGTTGGATGGAGGCAATTGAAATGAGTGTTTGAACAATAGTCATATAGGTTACTAGGGCAAAATGTTTTGCAAAGTCGATTCTATATTGCTGGTTGTAACTTTTTGCCACAAGATGAGCTTTATATCGTCCAATGTTGTCATCTGCTTTTGTTTTGATTTTATGTACCTACTGACATCCAATAGTTGACTTTCTTTTTTATTAAGAGGTACAAGGTCCCCAATCATGCATGTGATCAAGAGTATTTAACTCATCTACCATTGCCTATTTCCACAAGCCTGACTTGCAGCTTCTTTATAAGTCTGTGGTTCAGAATAAAAATGAACAAAAGCAAGAAAGGTTTGCTGCTAAGCTAAGAAGGTTTGATAGTTAGCAAAATAGGCAGGTAGAATAGAGAAACGAGTGCTTATAGGTGCCTAATCAAGATTGCCAGCATTAGTTGGTTGGGCTTCTTCCTGGTTTTCAAGTTCAGAGACAAAAGCGAAATGTTTGGAAGAGGTTGGAACATACTCAGAAAAGAGGATTAGAAAATATAGGACAGATGATGAGTTATCATATTTATTTTTTTAAAAAGAATGTGCTCAGAAAATCCAACCTAAAATCTTTTGGTCACAAGGTCATAGTATCTATATCCTTTTATAGTATTTAGAGACAACTTGTTTCTCTCAATTGAGGGTAACAAAACAAAACAAGTGCAGACACATGTAGAAGAAAATACAAAGTGTTAAGGACCGAGATTTTTCTGGCTTGAGGAGGTGCACTACAGTAAGAGACTGAAGAAGAAGAGAACGTGCACGACAGTAAGAAGGGAACGCATGTGGCAGTAAGGAGAGAACACACGCGGCAGTAAGAAGAGAAGCCACCATGCGCGACGAGGAGAGAGAAGGCCGCCGTGCGTGATGAGGAGAGAGAAGGCCACGTGCACCACAAGGAGACAGAAGGCCGCTATGCATGACGAGGAGAGAGAAGCCGCTGAGTGCGACAATGAGAGAATACTATCGTGCGCGATGAGGAGAGAGAAGGTCATCGTGCGTGATGAGGAGAGAGAAGCAGTTGTGTATGACGAGGAGAGAGAAGGCTGCCGTGTGCGACAAGGCGAGAGAAGGATATCGTGCGCCACACTGCCGAGCCCATGCATGCCCCTAGGTGCCACTTGTTTGTCTTGCATGCCACTTGTTCAACTGCACGACACTGTGAGTGCCACTTGGCAAATCCAAGCTGCCACCTCCCCCTCTTGGCCTACTTAAACCCTCTTCTTTAGTCCCCCAAGCCCTCGTTTTCTCTGTCTCCCACTCTTGAGACCTCCCTTTCTCAACACTTAGAAGTGCAACACCTTGGAGCCTTTGTTGAAGAGCTTGGAACTTGACTGTGTGGGGGATTTTGGACACATTAGAGCACATGTAAGTGGATCTAACACTCATGTTTTACAGTTTTGATTAAAGTATGAAAATTAAGCAAAGTATAAGAGTAATTTTTTATAGGAATATGGTTGCATGCTAGTGAAATTGTGTTGTTTGTGCACTGTTATTACAGAATTGTGGTTCTCATTGGCATGATGAATTTAGTACTGAAAAGAACTCTGATATTCATGAAAATTTGTGGAAGAGTACCCTTGTATGTCTATATTAAGTTGAAAAAGGTTTTGTGTTAATATCTATTCTAGTTTGGAAGTTATTGATTATTCTATAAGGTGTGCCAAAACTTTGTGTGAATTTCTAGGGATCCTATATGTTTTTGTAATGAACTTTTGACTAACTAAACTGTGTCCAAATGATTCAAACTACTATTAAATGAAAGATGGATGTATCCACTTCAAGTTTAGTTTTGAAACCATGTCAAAATTCCTCATAATTTGGAAGTTATGCCTCTGTTTGTATAGACATGTCACTGTTATAAGTTGCAGCAGCTTCCAGGACTGTTGCTCATTTTATACTGAATGTTTGATTGATCAAAAGATGTTTAAATGACTTTAAAATACGTTTAAATGAAAGATAGATGTGTCCACTTCAAGTTTAGTTATGAAACCATGTCGAAATTAGTTATAATTTGGAAGTTATGACTCTGTTTGTACAGACATGTCATTGTTATCAGTTGCAGCAGTTTTCAGGACTATTGTTTTTTTTGTACTGAATGTTTGACTGATCAAACGGTATCCAAATGACTTAAAAAAACTTTTAAATGAAATATGGATGCATCCAATTTAAGTTTAGGTTTGAAACCATGTTGAAATTCCACATAATTTGGAAGTTATGCCACTGTTTGTATAGACATGTCATTGTTATCAGTTGCAGCAGTTTCCAGGACTATTGCTCATTTTGTACTAAACTTTTGACTGAACAAAACGTCAAACGGTGTCCAAATGACTACAAACTAATTTTAAATAAATATGGATGTGTTCACTTCAAGTTGAGTTTTGAAACCATGTCTAAATCCCTCATAATTTGAAAGTTATGCCTCTGTATGTATAGACATATAACTGTTATCAGTTGCAGCGGTTTCCAGAACTGTTGCTCATTTTGTACTAAACGTTTGATTGAACAATTGGAGTCCAAATGACTTCAAACCATTTTTAAATGAAGTATGGGCATGTCTACCTCAAGTTTAATTTTGGAACTATGTTGAAATTCTTGATGATGTGAGAATTATGCTCCTTTGTGCATGCATATGTCATTGTTGTGCATTGCAGAGGAATTCCAGAATTTTTATGTGTTTTATGAAAGACTGTTCGCTGACCAATATGTCTCTGATTATTGCTAAACCACTTCTAAATGAAAAGTAGATTAGTTATTTTCAAATTGGCTTTTGGGAAACATGACTAAAATCCCTATGGAATGGAAGTTAGGCTTAATTTTCTATGAGCCCTTCATACTAAACATCATGTTCTGTTATGAATTCTTGAATATGCATGCTTATGATATAGTGAATGCTCATGAACTCTTGAATAATTATAATGAGACGTACTTGGGCATGAGTGAATGCTTATGAGATATGCATGTGCATAGTTGTGATCGGATATGATAAGATTACGATATGAACCACTACGTAATGGGACATCCATTGGTAGTGGGGATTTGATATGATAAGATTGTGATATGAACCACTACACAATGGGACATCCATTGATAATATGACATGAGATTCTGAGACTATTGAATAAGGCACTGCACAATGGGTCATCTGTTGGCAGTGCAATCTGTTATGATATAATAAGAAAGTTATGCCTACAGTTAAGATCTTCCCTAAATCCTCATGGTAGGAAGGGAGTTAGGATGTGAATGTGAATATCTGGGAGGGTTGTACCCCCCGGATCTATATGAGCACTACGCAACGGGTTACCCATTGGTAATGTAATGCCCTCTCACCTGAAAAGCATATGGAGAGGGTCGTGTCTTGCAAGGCTGCAACCTATCAAAAGCCCCAAAACGCGCTGGGGATTGTGTGTGTGTGTGTGTGTGTGAAGACATTACAAAATTAGTCATCCATTTGTCATTGTGTTCCCTCTTGAGTTTGAGTAGAAGTCCCAAGTAACATGATTGGTTTGACTTATACTTCGAGAGTAGGCGATATTAGGATTGCCTGTATGCACTATGTGTCTTGCTTGTATTATTAATCTGTTATTTTGATGAAAGGAAGTGATAGACTGTTAGCTCATGCAATGTATAATATTATGATATCTGATTTACACTTCTGCCACCACTACTAAATAATTTTGAAACATGACTCCCTGTTGTGACACTTGCATGAATTTTTGGGGATGGTTATGAATGACATTGTATAGGTAAGAATACATGATGTTTGATCCCCTTACTGAGCTTTATAGCTCATCTATTTGACTTTCTCTGTATAGATTAATAACCTACAGCTTTTGAGAGCTGGCGGCTGGGCACTCGTGGCTGAAGGTTGAAGATCCAAGTTTGGCAAGAAAGGCCTTATCCTGATAGTTGGTGTATGTTGGCGGTGGCCATGTAGTTGCTTTGCTTAAAATATTGTATTTTGTGGTTGGGCATGTAGTGCCTTGAACATGATTGTAATTAAAATTTTGGAACCTGTATATATTTAAGTTGGGTTTATTTTGTCCAGTTCTTGTACCTCTGTGCATGTTTTTTGCTTTATTTCGTGGTTTGCTTTGGCTCCGCCTTCTAAAAAGCGTTGAGCGCACTCCCACCTGAGTGGCATTCGCTATCTCTGGTCGTGGTGCCGTATTCTGTTGCCCTCCGACAAATATGGTAGGGGTTAGGAGGCAGGGTCGTGACAGTTATGGTGTCAGAGCAGCCAGGATATGATTCTTGGCCTAAAGAGTCATAGAAATGTATCTAGAATGGTTTCTAGATGGGTTAGTAATTGGGTGTTCCTATATTGGGTTAAGATGATAAGGACTCGTTCCAACAATGCGAGTTGTAGTAATGAGAACATCGAGGCTCTTGGGGAATTCTTCAAGACTTTAGGGGCCATGACTCAGATGATGAAATACCATTTGCTGGCCCCGGCTACTCCTGCCCCAAATCAAGCTGATAGTAGTCTAACTGAGAGATTTTGGAGGCTTGCACCTCCGACGTTCTTGGGGCATGGGGGAGTAGAGAAAGCTGAGAGATGGAGGAGACAAGTGGAGAAGATATTTGATGTGTTACACTATTTCGATGAACAAAAAGGTTAGGATGAGGACTTTCATGCTAAAAGGGGATGCTGAACACTAGTGAAGCAATCTTGGGAGAAGTCAGGAATTGCGACTTGGAAGAATTTTCTAGAAGCTTTTAATGAGAAATATTTCCTTGACTCAGTCCGAGAGAGAAAAGAAGTAGAGTTAATTGAGTTGCAGCAAGGGAAATTATTAGTGGACCAGTATGCATCAAAATTTGCAGAGCTCTCCTGTTACGCATCACACATTATCAATACAGAGGCACGTAAGGTGAACAAGTTCGTGAGGAGCCTCCAGCCAGACATAAGAGGGAGAATAATATCAGCCAACCTCAAGACCTCCTTCCCCTTAGTGGACCTTGCTATGAAGATTAAGAGAGATTGTGAAGAGTTCCGGTTGAGGAAAGAAGGGAAAGTGGGGGCCGTGCCATCTGGAAATTTTAGGAGGACGACTCGACCACCTCCTAGGAGAGAGTTTGGGGGAAGGAACAATCAGGGCAATACAGAGATCCAAAATACCTTCCCTGGTGACGTGAGGGATAATCGGCGACTGACTTGCTCTTACTGTGGGTTGAGTAGCCATTCTGCAGCTGAGTGTTATAAGAAGGTGAAATCATGTTTTCGTTGTGGCAAGCCCGGCCACCTAATCAAGGACTGTCCAGTAAAAGGGCCAGAGAACCGACCAAGGACTCAAGGTCAGGTGTTTTCACTCATGAAACAGGAAGCCAAGGCGTTTACCTCTGTAATCCGAGGTACGCTCTCTGTCTATGGTATAGAAGCTAGAGTCTTGATTGACCCTAGATCTTCTCATTCTTTTGTTGCACCTCACTTTGCATACCACATAAATGTTAGACCTTCACTTCTTGACTAAATTACCAACTCGTGACTTGGAGCTTGCGGCTGTAGTTTTCGCCTTGAAAATATGGAGATATTACTTTTATGAGGCCCAGTTTAAGGTATTTACGAACCATAAGAGCCTCAAATACCTGTTTTCCCAAAAAGAGTTGAGGCAAATGAGATGGATTGATCTATTGAATGATTATGATTGTACCATCAATTACCACCCAGGAAAGACTAATGTGGTAGCAGATGCTCTAAGTAGGAAGCTCGTGACATCAATGGCCTACCTAATGGTTTGAGAGATGGGACTGTTAGAGGATGTAGTGGATTGGCACCCAAGTCTGCCCCTTGGTGATGGGATATGTATGACCGCTTGTACAAGGGTGGAGCCCCAACTCTTTCAACAGATCTGGATGGCACAAAAGAAGGATCCTCAGCTCATGAAAATTCTAGAATAAATAAATTGTGAAGGAAAGATGATTTCTCTGTAAATGATGATGAGTTGTTAAGATTCAGCGATCGGGTTTGCGTTCCGAATGTTGAAGGTGTGAAGAGAGATATTCTAGAAGCTCACCGCTCCTGTTATGCCATACACCCCGGGAGTACTAAGATGTATTAAGACTTGAAGAAAACTTTATGGTGGAATGACATGAAAAGGAAAATAACATTGTTTGTTTCCAAGTGCTTGACATGCCAGCAAGTGAAAGCTCAGCATCAGAAATCCACCTGGTTGTTGCAGCCCTTGACTGTGCCAGAATGGAAATAAGAACACATCACTATAGACTTTGTCTCCGGTTTACCTAGAACGGGTACTGGACACAATAGTATTTGGGTCATTGTGGACCGGCTGATCAAAGCTGCCAATTTCTTATCGGTCCGCACAACCTATACCTTGAATAAATTGGCCTAGTTATACATCAAGGAAATAGTGAGATTGCATGGAATACCAGTCAGCATCGTGTCCGATTGGGACACTAGATTTACCTTAAGATTTTGGGCCAGTCTGCAGTCAGCCTTGGGGACAAGACTTACTTTTAACACTGCTTTTCACCCCCAAACTGATGGATAATCAGAGAGAACCATTTAGACCCTAGAAAATATGTTAAGGGTTTGTGTTACTGACTTTAAGGGAAGTTGGAATGATTATTTGCCGTTGATAGAATTTGCCTATAATAACAGCTTCCAAGCCAGTATTCAGATGGCGCCTTTGGAGGCCTTATATGGGAGAAAGTGCAGGTCACCCATCTGTTACGATGAGGTTGGCGAAAGGAGGCTTTAGGGCCAGAAATTGTTCAAGTGATATCAGAAAAGATTGCCTTGATTCGAGAGAGGCTCAAGACAGCTCAGAGTTAACAAAAGAGTTATGCCGATAATCGAAGGAGAGACGTCGAATTTGAGGTAGGTGATCGAGTTTTCTTGAAAGTATCGCCAACTAAAGGCATTGTGAGGTTCGACAAAAAAGGAAAATTGAGCCCACAATATATTGGACCTTTTGAAGTTCTAGAAAAAATTGGAAGCGTGGCATATCAACTTGCCCTACCACCCGAGTTGGCAAACATCCACGATGTCTTCCATATATCTTTATTAAGGAAGTACCAGCCTGACCCGTCCCATGTTCTAAGATATGAATCAGTTCCGATCCGAGAAGACTTGACCTAAATTGAGTAACCTATTGAGACGAAGAGTATAGGTGTGCGCAATAAAGAAATTCATTTGGTCTATGTTTTGTGGCAATACCATTTATAGGAAGCATTGACCTGGGAATGGGACGATGATATCCGAAATAAATACCCTAATTATTAAACTAGCATAAACATGATTTTGAGGAGAAAATCCTTTGAAGGGGGGGATGATGTAAGGACCGAGGTTTTTCCGGCTAGAGGAGGTGCACGACAGTAAGAGATTAAAGAAGAAGAGAAAGCTCGCGACAGTAAGAAGGGAACACACACGGTAGTAAGGAGAAAATGAGCGTGACAGTAAGAATAGTAGATGCCCTGCGCGACAAGGAGAGAGAAGGCCGCTGTGCACAACAAGGAGAGAGAAGGTTGCCGTGAATGAAGAGAAGAGAGAAGCCACCATGCGCAATGAGGAGAGAGCAAGCCGCCGTACGCGACGAAGAGAAAGAAGGTTGCCGTGTGTGGTGAGGAGAGAGAAGGCTGCCGTTTATGACGAGGAGAGAGAAGGCCACTGTGTGCCACACCACCGAGCCCATGCATGCCTCTAGGTGCCACTTGTCTATCTTGCATGCCACTTGCTCAATTGCATGATATTGTGAGTGCCACTTGGCAAATCCAAGCTGCCACCTCCCCCTATTGGCCTACTTAAACCCTCTTCTTTAGTCCCCCAAGCCCTCATTTCTCTCTCTCCCACTCTTGAGAGCTCCCTTTCTCAATACTTAGAAGCACAACCCCATGGAGCCTTTGTTGAAGAGCTTGGGACTTGACTGTGTGGGGGATTTTGGGACACATTGGAGCACATGTAAGTGGATCTAACACTCATGTTTCCACAGTTCTGATTAAAGTAAGAAAATGAAGCAAAGTATAAGTGTACTTTTTTTTAGGAATAGGACTGCTTGCTAGTGAAATTGTGTTGTTTGTGCACTATTATTACAGAATTGTGCTTCTCATTAGCATGATGAATTTAGTACTGAAAATGACTATGTTGGTCATGAAACTTTGTGGAAGAGTACCCTTATATGTCTATGTTAAGATGAAAAGGGTTTTGTGTTAATATCTATTTTAGTTTGGAAGTTATTGATTATTCTATAAGGCATGTCAAAACTTTGCTGTGAATTTTTAAGGACCTTGCATGTTCTTGTAATGAATGTTTAACTGATCAAACGGTGTCTAAGTGACTTCAAACCACTTTTAAATGAAATATATATTTTCGACTTCAAGTTTAGATTTGAACCCATGTCGAAATTCCGCATAATTTGGAAGTTATGCTTCTGTTTGTATAGACATGTCAATGTTATCAGTTGTAGCAGTTTTTAGGACTATTGCTCATTTTGTAATGAACTTTTTACTAACTAAACGGTATCCAAATGACTTAAAAATACTTTTAATTGAAATATGGATGTGTCCACTTCAAGTTTAGTTTTGAAACTATGTCAAAATTCCTCATAATTTGGAACTTAAGCCTCTGTTTGTATAGACATGTCACTATTATCAGTTGCCGCAATTTCCTGGACTATTGCTCATTTTGTACTAAATGTTTAGCTAATCAAATGGTATCCAAATAACTTTAAACTACTTTTAAATGAAATATGGATGTGTCCACTTAAAGTTTAGTTTTCAAACCATGTCGAAATTCCTCATAATTTGTAAGTTATGCCTCTATTTGTATAGATATATCACTGTTATTAGTTGCAGCAGTTTTCAGGACTATTGCTTATTACTTACTGAATTTTTGACTGATCAAACAATGTCCAAATGACTTCAAACTACTTTTAATTGAAATATAGATATGTTAACTTTAAGTTAGTTTTGAAACCTTATCAATAGGTCATCATAATTGAGAAGTTATGCCTCTATTTGTATAAATATGTCACTGTTATCAGTTGCAGCGGTTTCCAAGACTGATGCTCATTTTGTACTGAACTTTTGATTGATCAATCGGTGTCCAAATGACTTCAAACCATTTTTAAATGGAAGATGGGTATGTTTACTTCAAGCTTAGTTTTGGAACTATGTTGAAATTCACGATTAGTTTTGGAACTATGTTGAAATTCTTGATTTTGAGAGAATTATGTACGTGTTTGCATGGATATATCACTGTGGTGAGTTGTTGTGGAATTCTTGAATTTTTATGTGTTTTATAAAAGACTGTTCAGTGACCAATATGTCTCTGATTAAGGCTAAAACCACTTCTAAATAAAAATTGAATGAGTTATTTTCAAATTATCTTTTGGGAACCATGATTAAAATCCCCATGGAATGGAAGGTAGGCCTAATTTTCTATGCGGCCTTCATACTAAAAATCCTGTTCTGTTATGAATTCTTGAATATGCATGCTTATGAGATAGTGAATGCTCATGAACTCTTGAATAATTATAATGAGACATGCTTGGGAATGAGTGAATGCTTATGAGATATGCATGTGCATAGTTGTGATCGGATATGATAAGATTGTGATATGAACCACTACACAATGGGACATCCATTGATAGTGGAGATCTGATATGATAAGATTGTAATATGAACCACTACGCAATGGGACATCCATTGGTAGTATGACATGAGATTCTGGGACTACTGAATAAGGCACTACGCAACGAGGCATCTGTTTGTAGCACAATCTATTATGATATAATAAGAAAGTTATGCCGACAGTTAAGATCTTCCCCAACTTCCCATGATAGGAAGGGAGTTAGGATGTGAATGTGAATATTTGAGAAGATCGCGTCCCCCGAATCTATATGGGCACTACGCATTAGGTTACCCATTGGTAGTGTAACGCCCTTTCGCTTGAAAGGCATAAGGCGAGGGTCGTGTCTAGCAAGGCCACAACCTATCAAAAGCCCTGAAGCGCGTTGGGGATTGTGCATATGTGTCTGAAGATATTACGAAATAGGTCATCCATTTGTCATTGTCTTCCCTCCTGAGTTTGGGCAGAAGTCCCAAGCAATAGGAATTACTTGACTTCTACTTCGGGAGTAGACGACACTAGGATTGTCTGTATGCACTATGTGTCTTGCTTGCATTACTAATTTGTTATTTTGATGAAAAGATGGTGTTAGCTCATGCAATGTCTAATATTCTGATGTCTGATTTACACTTCTGCCACCACTGCTAAAGAATTTTGATACATGACTCCCTGTTGTGACACTTGCATAAATTTTGGGGGATGGTTACAAATGACATTGCATAAGTAGGAATATATGATGTTCGATCTGCTTACTGAGCTTTATAGCTCATCCCTTTGACTTTTTCTGTATAGAGTAATAACCTACAGCTTTTGAGAGTGGGCGGCTGGGCACTCGTGGCTGGCAGTTGAAGATTCAAGTTTGGCAAGAAAGGCCGTATTCTGATA